AGATCCTGTTCAGCCTTTCTACTCCAAATCTACTCCGGCCGTGGAGAAAAATCTGGAAAACAAAGCTCCTTGTAGGGTTAATTTTTCTGTCTAGTTAGTTGCAAAGGAAGCCTGCCTAACCCAATACAATCCCCAAAGGAGAGGCTACCAGATGTGCACAAGATGTCCACTTTGTGAAGGTTAAGTGGAAGTCAAGCGTCTGTTCTTGCACTGTCACTTCACACATCAAATGTGGCCACTCTTCTTCAATACCTTAACATTAAAACCAATCCTTGACTTTCTGAAGATTTGGCACAGTAAAAAGACCTCAGCGAGGCAATTATCAGTATTTGGCATTCCATCCCAGCAGCTATATGGTGGACTCATTGGAGGGAATCAGGGAAAGAAACCATACAGTTTTTGAAGGCAAATTTGAAAATATCATTACCCTTAAGCATAGTTGTATACTTTTGCTTCATTTTTGGTGCAAGTTGGCATTGTAAATGACGTCGAAGCCATTCTTCATTTCTTCAGTACTTTACAGTATATGTGACTGCAAATCCTCAGCTTAGTCTCCAAATCATCACTTTCTTACGGATGGAATAAATTGTTCTTTACTTGTCAAAAAAAGTTCTCTATCTTTATTTTTTGGAACTGGTAACTTGTATGTATAAATAAACAAAACAGTACATGGGTTGTACTGAAACTATAATTACAATTGAGATTCTAAGGTCAACAGAATCCTCAGAATAAGTCTGTTTACACCAAAACAAAAAAGCAGAAGGCAATTCTGTTTGATCTTGTGCACTGAGTTACTCAAAACACCTGGAATTCCTTTCTTTCCAGACTGTCCACCAAATGCTTGCAGGGACATTTCTCCATCTACTCCTGTCTTCTGCCTGAACTCCTGCTTCCTCTCAACTATGTAAAACTTCAGTGACCTTTTCGGGCATTATCCGTTTGATTCTTCTGATGAAAGTGATATCCCATCCATGCTCTGTCCTTATTTCTGCCATGGTCTTATGTTGATGCACCACTAAGTTGAATATGTCTGGGAATCTCTCAAGAAGACTAGTTCTCTATCTTTATTTGGAAATCAATAAAGAGGTTTCAATATTTTCTTCCTTTTATTTATTTTTCTTTATTTCAATTCCTTAACTTCAAAAGTTCTAGTGACAAAGATGACTCGTTGTATCAATAAATTTCTCCGTCTATGCAAGGTACTGCTAGAATTTACTCTCCACTTTTTCTTCAAACTATGGATAAATCTGAGTATTTTTATTTTGGCTCCTTTTTCTTGAGGGAAACATAAGTAAAAGCCTGCAAGTATTACATTGTTGCCACCCAATAATAGCATGAAAATTTTCACTACTAGGCTTCTTGTTATAGACCCTTGTAGTCTGGCCTTTCCCTGGACCCCGCGCATAGCGGGAACTTAGTGCATCGGCATTCCCTTTTTAGGCTTCTTGTTATAGTTTTGAATTTAACTATCTAATACTTCTATATCTTATTCTTTTGATGTGTCTGTAGGTTAAGATACATAAGATGCTTTTGCAGTCAAGGTTCCGGACCAGAAAGAAAGAAGAGGCAGACCTTTTCTTTGTGCCTGCTTATCCTAAGTGTGTTCGAGTGATGGGCGGACTGAATGACAAAGAGATTAATCAGACCTATGTGAAGGTAGTAAAATTCAGGACCTTAAAATTACATTTCAAAAAACTTTCTAAGTTCTATTTATTGCTATAGTTGAATAATTGAGATATTTTGCTTGGCTTTAGAGCTTCAATTGAAATGTCACTGTATCCATTTCCTCTCATATATTCGTTTTCCTTATGTATGATCTTCTCTCTCTCTCTCAACCTTTTGCTTGCAGGTCCTAAGTCAAATGCCATATTTCAGGTTATCTGGTGGCCGCAACCACATATTTGTCTTCCCAAGGTATAAGTTGTCATATGGAGATATTTTAAACTCATGGATAGGAAAGATGACCCAATGACGTATGGAATTTGTAAGAGCTGGTAAATGAATATGACAGGCATAGCGAAGTTCTGCATGGGATTAGATGTAGATATAAAGCCACAACCTCAAAGTTGCAATCCGATAAAAATATCGCCTAATGGTAGTTGTGCTGCATTTGTCAAAACTGCCATTTGAATAAGGCAGGAATAACTACCTTATGAACTGGGATGTAGATGTGAAGCACAACTTCAATGGTGCAGTCAGATAAAATATTGATCATCCATTGTTACCTGTGCTAAATGCTGTTGCAAATAGACGTGCAACTAAATTTCTCTCAGTAGCATTTTCAATTGAAAGAATTACACTTTTTCTAATGCGTGTTACTTTTGCTGAACTGCAGTGGTGCTGGAGCTCATTTATTTAAATCGTGGGCGACATACTTGAATCGGTCTATAATACTTACCCCTGAGGTAAGGTCTTACAAACTGTTAGTCTATAATCCTTACCCCTCATATGCAGTCGTAGAAGATGTCTCATGGATTGCTGTGCTGTCATTCACTATGCAGTGATCAATTTTTTTTCTGTCTCTCATGGAATCTCAACTCGCTCTCACTGTCTGTATGTTGTTTCCATGGTCGGTTCATTGTGACAATTTAATATATCATGCACAGAACCTGCCTAAAGAAAATATATTATAAGCTTTCTGTCTAGAGATATGAGGCTATTAGCAGGTTCTTCAAGTTATTCTCTATGTTTGTTGTCTTAACATGCTTGCATATATCATGCCTGTTATCTCCAATAAGTTAATTCTCATTCAGTCTTCCATGTTGAGGAATATCATTGCATCTAATGCAGGGGGATCGCACAGATAAAAGAGATACTAGTGCCTTTAATACATGGAAAGATATTATCATACCTGGAAACATTGATGATGGGATGACTACTCATGGCTCTAGGATAGTTGAGCCTTTGCCTTTGTCAAAGAGGAAACATTTAGCGAACTATTTAGGTCGAGCACAAGGAAAGGTGGGTCGCCTTCGGTTGATAGAACTCTCGAAGCAGTACCCAGACAAGGTAAGCTTCTTCTCGTCTCCATTGATGCATGTAGCTTCACATCTTGGTTGAGAATGATGGCTTCACTGGCAAAAAATGTTTTACTCAATGTCTAGTATAAGAATCATCATTTTACTCTATGTGATGTCCTGTTTAAGTTCTTCCAGTTTCTCACATCTCCCTTAACTGGTCCCAGCCAATACATCTCACCGGTGTATCTTCAGTTGAAATGGGTTGTTGAATTAATTGTATGGTGAATATCTCTGAAGTAGTTTTCTCCAATGGGAAAATTTTCTGTACCTCCCAAAAGATATAATCATTCACAAAAATCCTGAACCCTCATATTTTTCTCAAATCTGTGTCAAATTTCATCTTCCACTGCTACTGCCTTAGGTTAGTGATAACAACCTTTGTCCTATATGTTGATAACATAAGCGTCGCTAAGTGTGTCAAGCAGTATTCTGTTGATTCATTACCAGGTACATGGATTTCTCAGTTTATCTGCATGTGTGAGAATCCTTTAGTTCTCCAAAACCACTGATTATATTTGCTTCCAGCTGAGTTCCATATAATGTCTTTTTTGTCCAAAAGATGGTCTTTTTGATTCTATCAACAGTTGGAATGTCCAGAATTGAAATTCAGTGGTCCTGACAAGCTAGGAAGGAAGGAATATTTTGAACATCTCCGCAATGCCAAGTTCTGCCTGGCTCCACGTGGTGAATCATCATGGACGCTTCGCTTTTATGAGTCCTTCTTTGTGGTTAGTCTCTCATATCTTGTGTGCATGACTAAATTTTGTCAAATTGCACTTTCCTAAGCTGTTTTATGCTATTGTTGTGTTAAACAGGAATGTGTTCCAGTAATCCTATCGGACCAAGCAGAATTACCATTTCAGAATGTGATAGACTATTCTCAGATATCAATCAAATGGCCATCCACTCATATAGGAACTGAACTATTGGACTACCTAGAATCAATACCGGGTCTGCACACTGCCTATTATTGTTCTAGTATCTTGCGTTAAAGATAGTAGCCAATCGATTTATGACACAACTTTCTTTCATTCTCAGATAAAGACATCGAAGAAATGATAGCTAGGGGTCAAAAGATCAGGTGCTTGTTCGCTTATACACCCGAGTCTGATTCCTGCTCTGCATTTAATGCAATTATGTGGGAACTGCAGAGAAAAGTAAGGCAATTCCACCAGTCATCAGGAACTTTCTGGTTCCATAATAGAACTATAGTCAATAGAAATTTGGTGGAATTCAGCAAGTGGAAACCACCCATGCCTCTGCCTTGAACACGTTTTTAACGACTTGTAGATCAATTGTGCTTTTGTTATAGTCGCATCTGTAATTGTTCCAGAGCTATAAAGAAAATCTCACTAACTAATCGTATTATTTGTTAACCCTGATAAAAGAAATTTGCACTTTCTTTTTTTCGTGTTTTCTCCTGATGTATAGGTTGTCATTTGTCAAAGGAATTGTGGTTCCTTAGGCTATTCTGAAGACTATAATGTTAAGCTCCTCTGTTTACTAGTTTTTGATATGTATCTTCATATGATTATTGTGTTTCGTCCACTGCACTATTTTGGTTTCTTTTATTAGTTTTTATAGTTTCTTCATTATTTTCTTCTTTATACTTGGAATTGGCTTGCGTACACTATCCTCTATAGACCCCATTTGTGAGATTTCATTAGATATGTTGTTGTAATATATATAAATTTATTTGATTCTATTCAGTGTTACTTTTGGTTTCCTTCACAAAATATAAAAACTTGTCTTAATTATTTGGTACTGTTAAGTCATCTATTTATATTGATACCTCTGACTATATTTAAGTAAATCTCATAATTTGATAAGATGCGGTTTCTAAAATACGACATTTTTCACCAAAATTTGCAGAATTGTAATAACCACAAAAATATGGTTTTTATTGGTGAGCCGCAAGTGACAAGTGAATAAGTGATAACATGTAAAGCCAGAACTTTCAAGAACTTTATTCGATGACGCAAAAACCAAATCTTTAAATCAGTGCCACCACAACCACAAAAAATCTCAAGACATTCCAAACTCTGTGGACCTCAGCTTTTGCAAGGTGTAAACCCAATCAAAAGCTCTTTTCAGTTTAGGAGGAAGAATTCATAATATAAGTTTAAAGGACAACCCAACAACATAATCAAAGAGGCTTCAATCTGATAACTGAAGTTCCCCATATTGCATAGTTTTTTTTGGTCACAAACCGCATTTCTTTCTCGGTTGGGAGGAAATGGGGACATTTGTATACAGCAGTAGCTGCCTTTCTTGGAAAAATCTGTGCAGACAGATGAATCCCTCTCACCATGTGGTTCCGCGTGGTGTTCCAGAAAAAGGGTGTTCAAGAATTAAAGCTGCTGCTTGTTCTAAAGAAGATGCTCGTATGAACCGGGATAGTGAGATATCTGCAGGCTCATTGAATAGGAGGTCAGCTATTATATCTGGTGCTTCTTTGATTTCATCAGTACTGCTTTTTCCTGGAGAGGGATCTGCTGTAATTAAACAAGGTCTCCTAGCAGGGAGAGTTCCTGGACTGTCTGAACCAGATGAAGAAGGTTAGTCTCATATTTAACACTGCAATAAGCCTATTGATATTTTCATGAGTGATGTTGATAAACATGGACAATTAGTAGACTCTTACTAAGTCAATTGGTATTGTTCATAGCTTTGGATTGCAACAAAAGATTTTCTCTAAGCTGGAAAATGCATGTTGACACAGACTACATCCACATAACGAAAGAACACTTGTTCAACGTGTAATCTTATCAAAAACACATAAATCCAGCAACACTTCCTTACATTATTGGAATTCTTAGTGTCTTTTTCGTTTTCCAAGTAAACGTTCATCTTAACAAGGACAAAATTGCTCAGGCAGGTTGGAGGACATACCGAAGACCGGATGACAAGTCAGGTGGACATGGTGTTGGATGGAGTCCTATGATTCCTTATACTTTTTCCGTGCCTGATAAATGGGAAGAGGTAGGAATCCATTTATTCACAACTGCACGTATTTCAGTAGACAATGTCAGAGAAATTACCTTTAAGCTTGATATTAATCAACTTTGCATGATTGGACTTACCTTAATCAGGTCCACTTTTGATGTTTTCATCTGTTGAACAGGTCCCTGTGTCAATTGCTGATCTAGGTGGTACAGAGATCGACTTGAGATTCGCAAATCCCAAAGAAGGGAGAGTCATTGTAATTGTCGCTCCTGTAAAAAGATTTTCAGATGGTGAGCATCTCATGTTTTTACTTCCTTCTATTCTAGTAATGAAGCTAAGAACTAAAACAAAAAATGATCTTAGGTGAACATATGGATGAACGTGTAAAACATACTAACAAATAAATATAATCAACTCAATTTGTCTCTAATGGATTCAATCTTGGTGGTATTCTACTCAAAATATGATGTAGAAATTGGTGAAGAAGCTACCATAGAACAAATTGGACCACCAGATAAAGTGATTAGCGCATTTGGGCCTGAAGTCATTGGAGAGAATGTTGAAGGTAAAGTCTTAAGATCTGAAGTAGCAGAGCATGAGGGAAGAACATATTACCAGTTTGAATTAGAGCCACCACATGTAATGATCACAGCAACAGCTGCTGGAAATCGCCTATACTTGTTCAATGTTACTGGAAATGGTAAGAACCAAATCAACACTTTCTATCTTCAGAATATCTGCTATTATCAATTGTTCAAATCCTACAACTCGCTGTGATTTCACAGGTCTTCAATGGAAAAGGTATTACAAAGATTTGAGAAAGATCGCTGAGTCTTTCAGGGTTGTGTAATTTACACATCTACCCCATGCGTGATAGCACCTTAGCAGAGGTGGAATGCACAAGGAAGAAGAGTCGGTCACTATAATCACAATTATTTATAAGAATGCCACATCACCTCTAGTAGTATATACAGTTAAGTATGTGAGAGGAGAATTTCCTCTAGAATGAGTTTTGTAACAAATTTTAGCTACCTATGATTATTGTAAACTGTTTACGTTACCAATATTACAAGTCTTCAGAAGGCACCTCTTCTGGATTGATCGCGACATCAGGCATTGATAGCTCTGTTTGATTGTCACTACAATCACCTCAACATTGTTTTAGTATCATGTTTTAGAAGTTTATGCTGTCAATACTTGCATAAAACTAGTCTCTGGTCCATCGAGCATGACCACACTACACCCTGGTGTCTTCTGAGACCCTTTATTTGACAAGGCAAACCTCATCCTTTCAGCTTTCTCCCACCTTTCAGCAGCAGCATATATATTTGAAAAAATCACATAATGTGCATCATCACCGGAATCACTAATGTAGTTCAATTTTCTGACTTCTTTCAGCACATTTTCCACCACATCTGTGTCCGAGTGAACCCGACATGCTCCAAGCAGAGCCCCTAAAACTGTGTCATTTGGTGTGACAGGCATCCCTTTTATCAAGTCACAAGCCTCCTCTAATCTTCCAGCCCTTCCCAAAAGGTCTACAAGACAACCATAATGCTTGATGCTTGCCGTCAATGCATATTTCTCCATCCTGGAGAAGATCTCTAAACCTTCCTCCACAAATCCACCATGGGCACAAGCCGATAGCACTGAGAGAAATGTTATATCATTAGGTTTCACTCCTGAACTAGCCATTCTATCAAAAAAATTAATTGCCTCCACACAGTGGCCATGGTTAGCAAAACCAGATATTAGTGAGTTCCAAGCAGCATCATTCTTCTTAACCAACATTCCTTCAAAAATCAATCTGGCGTTACTTAAATCCCCACATTTTGCATACATGTCAACCAACCCATTAAGAACATATTCATTCAATTCAATCCCTTTCCGAATTATCATTTCATGTATATCCTTGCCAACATCCAGTAAAGCCAACTGGGCACAAGCCGATAAAACACTAACTACAGTAACCTCATCTGGTTCAAGACCCTCATCTTGCATTTTTGTAAATGCTTCCAAGGCTTCTTCACACAACCCATTTTGTGTATAACCACATATCAATGAATTCCAATTCACCAAGTTCTTCATACTCATCCTATCAAATATGGCCTCGGCACTCTTAACATCACCCTTCTTAAAATAACCAGAAACCATCGACGACCAGACATAAAAATTCCTTGTTGGCATAATCTCAAACAATTCCCTTGCAGCATCCATATCCCCATTACTAGTATACCCATCAACCATCACACTCCATGTAACAACATTCCTCAACTCATCTGGTACCCGGTCAAAAAAACTCCTAGCCAGCAGCATATCTCCATTCCTCGCATACCCATCAATCATTTCATTCCAAGTCACAATTGTCTTCTCAGACATATTCTCAAACAATAAAAAAGCAGTCTTTATATCACCATTCTTTATACATCCTCCTATCATAGCATTCCATGTAATCACATTTCTTTCAGGCATATAATCAAACATTTTCCGGGCACTCCCAATTTCACCACATTTCCCATACATATCCAATAACGCAGTCCCCACCATTACATTACAATCAAATCCCGATTTCACAGATTCAGCATGTAAGGCTTTGCCAAGGCTAAGCATTGAAAGTGAGGCACATGCCTTTAGCACCAAAGGAACAACACCCATTATAAAACTTCCATTCATACGATTATGGGTATATGTTAAAAGGGCTTCTTTGAATTTTCCTTGAGATATGCAGTTCTTTATACTGTAAGACCAATTCTTTAACGGGTTTGTGATCATTTCTGAGTTCTTGAGAAGCAAGGATAAAGTTCAAGTTTCTTGCTTTCACTGCCATTAACTGACTCGCAAAATATGTCTCTTTTGTGTTTTAGTCCTTATATTTTCTGATAACTATATTTATGGTCCTTAATCTATTTCAAATTACTCTATGAAATTACCTAAATAGAGTGACAAAGATATGGATTACATATTATAATTAATTCTAATTAATTTGGAATCAAGACATAATTAAATAATGGCGAAATGGTCCGGTGGACCCTTATACTTATATCAGTTTGTATTTTGAACCTTTCTACTTACACCTTTGTCATCTGGGCCCTTAAACTCAATAAAACACAATTTAACAAACCCCTCTGACCGTTGACCAGACTTATGTGGCAGTAAGATGTCTGAGTTGGCAAAAGTGTGTAACTACACGCCTATTAAGGCGAGTGAGGAGCATTTTTACTTAAAAAATATTTAAAATTATAAAAAAATAATTTTTTTAAATCATTAATTAAAAAACTCCTTCTACTTCACCCATTACACCTCATTTTCAGCCATATTCATCCCTTGCCCAACCCTTTTTTCTTTTTTTCCAAAATCTATTTTTCGGCTAGATATGGTGTGTTGGCTGTTGGTTTTGTGAGGTTGGAGAAGGAAAGGAAAATGGTTGTGACGTGTGGCGGAGATGAAGGCAGGTAAAGGAAGGAATATGAGTGGTTTCGCCGGCAACAATGACGACGACGGCGATGGTTTGGGTCATGAAACAATGGGAATGGGAGGAACTATAATGGGTAGATTTCGACGAGTTTCACGGCATAGGTTGGTGTGAAATTGTATTTGTAAGCAATTTGGGGTGTGAGGATTACGAAAAGGTTGGCCAGATCTGGTTGTGCGGTGGCCAAATCTGATTTTGCAGTGGTTTAGGTTGTTGTTACTGTGGAGGTTGGAGGAGTAAAGAAAAGTAGTGATGGTGTGCGGCGGAGATTAAGATGGGTGAGGGAGAAAGTATATGTCATTTCGCCGGAAAAAATGGCGACGACGCCGGCGATGTTTGGTCGTGAAATAGGGAGAATTAGAAATGCCAATAATAAATTAAAATGTTATTATTTTACATTTTATTAAATAATTTTGGTTAATAATTTTAAAAAATAGTTATGAAATAATTATGATGTGGCATTAATATATCTGACGTGGATATGACATGTCAATTATATAAAGGAGAGTGAGCTACACACATGGTTGGAGGGGCTTAAAAGTCTCATTTTAATTGAGTTTAAGGGTTCAGATGACAAAGGTGTAAGTAGAAGGGTTTAGAATACAAACTAATACAAGTATAAGGATTCACCAGACCATTTTGCCTTAAATAATTGTTTTGTACAAAATGCGCATTGGGTAAATCCCCACGACTAAATAGATTTCCTTTGCCCTTCCCTTTGCTTGAGCACTTTGTGTGCACCCATTGTGTAATAGATTGTCTCTGCCCATGCCCTTCGCGTGAGCACTCTGTGCGGATAAAATTTCCATTGCCTAATAATCTGCAAATCACACATGAGATGTAAACGACATTAAGCAAGATCTATGCAATAAACTAGATTCAAAAGGCATTAATGGGGATTAATCCCGGTGGATGACCATCCTCCAAACCAATTGAGTCAATCTGAAGGAATAGTGAACGAATAAAATTTTCAACCCTTTCAGAGATTATTAGTGTAGAAAATTGACTTAATACAAGAAGTTCAATTAATGATTTGAAAAAGGGTGTAATGTTAATGAAAGCCTAATGAAAGTTAAAATTTAAATATATTATAAGTGCGATTAGATAAAAATTATAATTCAAAATTAAGCATAACACTAATAAGAGGTCTTAAATACAGATCTTTAAAGAGTAAGGTCCTAAAATGCAATTTCCTTAATTTCCAAGAACTCACCTTCCCTGTTGTTGGCACTCTATTAACTATATTACCTGTATTAAGCCTTTGAACTTTCCAAAACCCACACAAAAATGGAGCAAAAATTGCTCAATTTTTTACAGAAATCCAAAACTAGCAAACAATTGAAAGAGACCCATCTTCAGATTATTGTCAATGGCCTCATGAATAACAACTCTATAGTGCCAAAGCTCATAACTTTTTCCTCAAACTTCATTTCACTTGATTATGGACTTCATGTCTTTGAAAACTTACAAAATCCAACTCTTATTTCCTACAATACTTTGATTCAATGCTTCATTGGTAAGACACTGAAATATGCATTATATACGTATAACCATATGAGGGTATCGAATATTACACCTAATAGTTTCACATTTACGTTTCTCTTGAGGTGTTTTGAGTCTTTTGATGCTTTACAAGCTGGAGAAGTAGTTCATAGTCAGATTGCGAAGATGGGTTTCGAGTCGAGTGTGTTTGCTAAGAATACCCTTATGGATTTTTATGCTAAATGTGGTGGGAATTTGGGTTCTGCTCGTAAGGTGTTTGATGAAATGTCTGATAGAGATGTTGTTTCATGGAATACGATGATTGGTGCTTATATGATTCATGGTAATCAGGAATATGCGCTTTGTTTGTTTGAGGCTATGCCGGAGAGGAATCTGATTTCGTGGAATTCGGTTATTGCTGGGCTATTGAAGGTTGGGAACATGGAGATGGCTCGTTCTGTTTTTAAGCGTATGCCGGAGAAGAATGATGTTTCTTGGAATACGATGATTTCTGGATATGTAAAGTTGGGTGACGTAGAGACTGCTAGAGCTATTTTTGATGAGATGCCGGAGAAAAGTATAATCTCTTGGACTGCAATGGTGTCAGGATATGCCACAAGTGGTGCTGTGCAATCAGCAAGAAAGATGTTTGATCGAATACCAGAAAAAAATGTTGTTTCATGGAATGCCATGATTGCTGGTTATGTAAATAACCACATGTTTGATGAAGCTCTGTCAGTGTTTCAGCATATGTTGATTGATGGGAACTGCAAACCCAACCAGACTACTTTGATTAGTGTACTCTCAGCGTGTTCACATTTGGGGTCTCATGAGCATGGAAAATGGATTGATTCTTTTATAAGAAAGAACAAATTTGACTTATCAGTTCCGCTAGGAAATGCTTTAATCGACACATTTGCAAAATGTGGAGATATGGAAAATGCAAAAGCAGTTTTCTTAAGGATGGCCCAAAGATGCATAATTACTTGGACTACAATGATTTCTGGATTAGCAGTGAATGGACATTGCAGAGACGCCCTAGAACTCTATGAAAAAATGTGCTTGGAAGGAGTAGAGCCGGATGATGTTGTATTTATTGCTGTTCTTTCAGCTTGCACTCATGGAGGGCTGCTGGAAGAAGGGAAAAGGGTATTTTACCAGATGGTGAATAAATTTGGCATTAAACCACGGATTGAGCATTATGGATGCATGGTTGATCTTCTTGGTCGAGCTGGAAAGTTTGAAAAAGCACTGAGTTTCATTAAGAGCATGCATTTGGAACCTAACGTGGTCATTTGGGCCACATTGCTTTCTGCTTGTAAAACTTATAGAAACGGGGAGTTGTTAGAATCCTTAACCAGGAGGATCCTGGAGCAAGAGCCTAACAACCCAAGTTATTTGACATTGATAATGAATTTAAGCTCTTCTGTTGGGCGGTGGCAAGATACCTTGAACTTCCGTATAGCTACTAGAGACCAGGGAATAGTAAAAATTCCCGGTTGTAGCTCAATCCAAATAGGAAATAATGTCCATGAGTTCTTAGCTAAAGATACAAAGCACCCACAGAGGAAGGAAATCTATAGAGTGTTAGGGTGTTTAAATGGACACTTAAAATCATGTGAGGTCGAATGAATTTTAATGGCCATGGCTTCTAAAAGAATCTATAGATAGAAAGATTTTGTAATGTCCGTTGCTCAAAGGCTACTTTCTTGAATACGCATTATTCTGACATGGGTGAAATTTTACATCACATGTAACTTGAAGTTGCATGATCACAGTGGATGGACTACTGATCTGAATTAAGTACTCTCGTGAAATGAAATATGATAATTCTCACAGTACGGCTGCAGGGAGAGGAATCAACTCGGAGAAACTGTGATGTCCAATCACGAGAGTAAATTATTGCATTGAAAATTTTGGGCAAGATGAGATGCATGAAGGTACTATTTCTTAGGCCGTGGAAGAATTGCTAAAGTATGTTCCAGAACAAATAAAGGGACATCATCAAAGATTGGTCTGGTTTCCATTTTTCCTCTGCTTAGTCATCTTGCTTCCTGATGAACATAAATAATGAGCATTTAAAATTATTGGATGGGGGAATAGACTCCTGGATTAGCTTAAGTTGAAGCTAATCCCTTTTTGGGCTTTGGAGGATTATATAGTCTTAATGCAAAAAGTAACCACCCTAAGGAGAAAATTAATCTTGTGGTAAACTTGTATGTGCTTAGCAGAAAGCTAATAGTCCTTTTGTAGAATATACTTGCATTTTCCAACAATTTAATAATTAGTTCCCGAAGGACATCTTCACTAAAAGATACGATATGTTGGAGTCAAATGTATCTGAAACATTGTTCTTTCTACTCCAACCATTTTAATACATGTACTTATACAATCTTTTCTCCAAGTATATTTCTTAGCTCGTTGAATCTTCTATTTCTGCTCCAAACCCATTTTATACCTGTTGAGTCTTCCCTTTCTGCATCATTCCTGCTCTTTAACTTGTTGAGCTCACTTTTTCTTTCCAGGCACACCCTAACTTGTTGAGCCTTCTCTATATGCTCCACGTCCACGCTTTTGCCCGTTGAGCTACTCTGAACTTCTGAAGATCTGGGTCTGTCAGAATAAATAGTCTTCAAGTAGAGGCGGAGTCAGGATTTTTATTAAGGGAGTTCAAAATCTGAAGAAATAAACAGACGAACTAGTCGAAGGGGGAGTTCGATATCTACTGTATATACATACAAAGTAATTTTAACCATGTATAAATAGTATAATTTTTCGCCAAAGGGGGTTCGGATGAACCCCTTACCATAAGTTGTCTCCGCCCTTGTCTTCTAGTCCTCAAAACTGGTCATAGGTGTGGAGGGTGTCAGCTTATACTTTAAAGGAGTTTATAATGGTCCTATTTCACTTATTGCCATATTTTGAATTGGATGCTCATATTCTTTCGTAACGTACTTTAAACTGAACGAAAGATAATATCAAAAAGAGATTATATTGGAGCATATAAGCAAAGGGTTGAACTTGAAACAAAGGGATCCTTACTCAAATAGCTGGATGGATTTCCTCTTTACTTTTCCTAGTGTATATACGTAGATTATACTCTAGTAGTCTGGTTCACGACTACACTCAAAATATACATGGATTATACATATAGTATACATCCGCTGGCTATTTTTAATTGAAGTGGTTTGGTGGTGGCTATTTAGGTTAATTCTTCAAAAAAAAAAAGGGAGTGGTTGGTTGATCAGAAAGTTGAGACAGATCTACAGGATGGGAGGATGGTGGGTTGGTCGGGAAGGTGTTGAAGGATGGCCAAATTTGCACCAAATCTAGAGTTTAGCGGATGGATCTACTGCAAGATTCTCATTTTCTTATTTGTTTTTGCCAAGACAACACAACTACTGTTAGTTACTACATCAATAGTTTCATTTTAAGATACCTTTTTCTTACTACTCTTCATGTTGCTTTTCTACAGTACCAACAGTTACTTAATCAATATACTGATACTACCTTCATTGTACTTATTCAGATAATGTGGACATGTACAAGATTCCTTCCGAGAAGTTAAGCACAAAGTTGAGAAGTGTTCTGTTTGGTTGTCCTCATTTGAATTGGTGCTCTGTTAATATTCACTTCTTGATTGTTTGTTCTCCATATTGATATGCTTTGCTTTTGAAGAAGCTGTCTTTTTTCTCCTGTAAATCCAATCCATTTCCACATATAAAACTTTTGTGTGCAAATGTTGTCTCTTTTGCTCGCTGTGCCTCCAGCTTTCTGTTGAAAATATAGTGCTGAAAATGGAAGCTGGCTGGAAGAGAATCTGATGCCGACACTAGTATATGGAAGTTGAAGTACTTTCACTGGCTAGTATGCTGTTCACCAAGGTAATAGTAAGTCACAAATGTTTTTAGCTTTAAAGTCATCTGGTTTTGACTCTGCAAGTGCATTATAAACTACCAAACTGTGATGCCTGGGCATATTCTTCATCATGTGATGCCTGATACTTACGTCAGTGGTGCACTGCTATAGTTATGGGCAAATGTAGGTTGCAACATTTTTTCTCCAGACAATTAATATTCCTGGTCAGTCAAATTGATTAAGAAGTTATAATTTAACTTTTTCCTCTTCTGTAAAAGTACTCATCCACTCCCTAGGACTTCCTAAATAATTACAATAAAATTGAGAAGACTAAAGAGACAAAAGTAAAAGAGAGGATAGTGGTGAAAAAGAGAGAATGAATCCTTCTCTTTCATTAACTGAAAAATAAAAGAAAATTGTCAATATAGGTTCCATTAGTGGGCATCTTTTTATTCTTAGTTCATCTTAATGTGGATGCCTTTTGGTCATTATGAAGAAACTTTATTAAATAGTTTTCTGTATTTATGCTTTTGCTGAGAATAAATATCACCCTCCAATAAATCTCATTTCTTTATACTTTTTACATGTTCTCTGAATCCAAAGATGTTGAAGAAGCAAAAAAGAGGTGATAGCGATTATGCAAGTATGTTTAAATGTCAATTACTTTTTTCACCAAAATCGGAAAAACCTTTAGTGATTATAAATCTGTAGTTATTAAAGTAAGAAAATTGGGTTGCAACTCACGGGCGTATGAATTTCTTTTTGTCAAACTCATGGCATGTGAGAATATTTTGTAACAAAATATTACAAGTATCTTGAAAAATAGTTATTCAACTATGACAAAACTTATATATCTCATTATTCTATGATTCTTTTAAAATTTGAGATTAGCATCCAAGGGTGTGACCTAGTGGTCAATGAAGTGGATTGAGCACCATGAGGTCTCAGGTTCAATTCCCAGCAGAGACAAAATACTAGGTGATTTCTTCCCATTTGTTCTAGCCTTGGTGGATAGAGTTACCTATTACCTGTTACCTGTTGCTGGGGGAGCTGACAGGTATCCTGTGGAATTGGTTGAGGTGCACGCAAGCTGGCCCGGACCTCACGGTTATAAAAAAAATTTAAAAACTATTTCACCCAGTTGTAGAAAAATCAGTTAATTTTCTGATGCTTATTATTGTAATACGTGATGCACCTATGTTTCACCCTTTACGATCCTTTCTATTCATGGACAACAAAATTTAAAAATAACTTGAGTAAATCTTGGGTGGACTGAGCCCCTGTCGAAGTTAACTATCTTGGTCTTCATTCCCTTGGCTTGGGTTTCACTCAAAGTTGAAGTTGGACTCACCTACTTTGGAATGACTTGTAAAAGTAAACATATATAAAACTCATGATTAGAGTTTGAGTTGCTTGAGTTCATGATGGATTAAGAATATGGCTGAATTATATGTAGATCTTGAGTAAAGGCTTGACTCATGGTATAAGATTCCGAGTACTTTGAATTTGCATGCAAGATTTGAGGAGTTTATGACCCCCCGTCTTCTCTACCTCCCAAGGTAGGGGTAAGGTCTGCTTACACTCTACCCTTCTCAGACCCCACTCGTGGGATTACACTGGGTATGTTTTTGAATTTGTGTAGTTTATGAATCCTAACAGATATGGGTATTAAGGATTCTACAATAGTTGGTTGATAGCTATAGATGAGTTTCGTTACAGATTTACAGTCACATAGGATTTGAACCAATAAACTGGTATCAGGTATTGTGAATCCTATGGTATACATACTAGATAAACTTTTTGAGTTTTATTGGTTTGTTAATCCTTAGATATGTATTGTCTCCATAATTTGATGAAGGAGTTGAGATCGAGTAAATTTGATGACATAAAATGAGTGATAACCTAACATATAGGACTAGCTTTCATTTAAATTGCATTTTCGACATAATCATAAGCTTAAGAAAAGGTTGAGAATTTCAAGTATCCTTGCTTAGGACAAATGCTTGAGTATAAATGAAATGATAACCATGTTTGAGTATATGAAATGACATAAATGGTATATTACTTTATGCTGTTTCAAAATATGCTGGCTATGAGTGTGTTTCAACAAATTAAGAGTAAGATTTAATATCAAGCTAGTATATGCTTTACTTAACTGGATAGTATGGATTAATAACTACTTTGAGTGAAAAACGTGGTGGGAATATATAAGAACCAAATTCCTGTACTACTGCTCAATCAACAAACAAAAGCCAGTTATTCTTCTACAGTAAAAGGATCCTTTTTAGCTCTATATTAGACATACTTAAACAAAATTGCTGGCATGCACCATATGCTAACCTTCTCGGGGACATTTCCAGTTTTCTAGCTTGAAAAAGCATCTCTTCCATGAGAGACATCAAAGTTCTCCGCACTGCTTTTGGAATTTTAGGTTCGTGCATTTTAGTTCTTGTTCTCATTCCTAGTTTTCTGTGAAAACTGAATATTAGTTATTATAACTCTTTCTTGTTTTTTTCTTCCTGGAATAGGAAATGTTTTTGGTGTATTACTCTTCATGGCGCCCATGTAAGCCTTTATGAAATTTTTGTTATTTAGTTACGTTTATACATCTGCTCTTTTGTCTTCTTCTTTCGGTTTGTTTTTCTCATCAAAACTATTTTGACACTACATACAGGATTACGTTCAAAAGGATTATTAGCAAGAGATCAACAGAACAGTTCTCTAGCATACCTTATGTAATAGCTCTGCTCAATTGCTTGCTCTCAGTTTGGTAAGTTTCTTCAATTAGTTTTATTGTTACTTGAAAACCATCTGTTTTTTTATTAATACTTTATTAAAGAGGCCGTTTGAGTTATCTGATAAACATCAAGTGCTGAAAACCACTTTTAGGTATTGAAATTGATTTTCCAAATAAGCATTTACATAGTTGAATAGAAGTGCTGAAACTGATAATAAACATTTAACATGTTAAGTAAAAAGGTGCTGATAAGCACTTTTTCTATTAAAATGACTGCAATATCCTTAAAATTATTTACAAAATATATAAATTTTAAAGTACCTTTTTACATAAAGAAGGATGAATGATGGAAATAGAATAAAGAGATAATTAAAAGTTATGTTATTATACAAGTTATTTCTAAAACTACAAAAGGTATCAAGGATAAAATTGTAAAAGGTTTGTTTAAACCAAAAATTCTTATAAGTTGTAAAACCAGAAGATAGGGCTGGACCAGATTATGACTTCTTGCAGATCTTGGCTTATAAGCACTACTATTGATGTCATCAAATGCGTAGATAAGACAATAAGTGTTTATGAGCCAGTTTGATAAGCTTAGCCAACCACCTTCAAAATATTTTTTTGTTGGAATGATTGAACATGATTAGGTCAGAGCCATTGCAGGGGAGCTTAATCTTCTGAAGCGGTAAAGTTACGTTGGGAAAAATAAATATCTAATTTTCGCCGCCTAAGCTATAGTCTAGGTTTTACAAGCATCATAGTGCCACCTTCATTGTTCTCTTTCCCCTTTAGCATCCTTGGTTCAAAGGAAAAAAAGAACAATTTTCTATTTTAATTCACTTATATGCTACTAATAAAAGGTTTTTTTTTTGTCACTAGTCAAATTAGGACATGAAAACAAAATTTCATTGGTGTGTTTGGTATGAAAGGAAAATATTTTTCACAGAAATTATTTTCTGGTGTTTGATAAGTAAGCAGAAGATATTATTCCAAGAGTATTTATATATAATTTAGACAAACACCCTGAGGTCAGGGGTTAGCACATGTGGGCGGTGAGGAGGGTTTGGGGGGATAGGTATGTGTAGCAAGGATGGGGTGAATGGGATGGGGTAGGGTAGTGAGAATGGGAAGGGTAAGGGTATTGGGGTTGGGATGTTTGGAGGGTGGGAGGATACATTTGGGGTGGAATACCACTTAAGGAGCTTGTGTTACTGGAGAAACGTTTTGACCAACCAAACATGAGAAAATTAGGAAAATGTTTAGCTCCATAGGAAACACACCCATAGAGAAGTTGGGTGCAATCGAATGCAATATTTTTTTGACTCTGAAGTGATGGTTACAATCTGGTTAGAGAATTAGAAATAAATTGTATAATGAATTTTAATTTGCTAACCTAGTAAAAATGGTAACTAACATGCTATCACATATTAACTACACTAATAGCGTAAATAACTTATAACTGTATGTGTATATAATTCAGGTCCAAACATAATACTGTCGTTGCCATTTCTTCTTAAAATAAATATTGAGTTTAACTTAGAAATTGGCTTTTGGTGAATGAAAACAGGTACAGTTTACCTTTTGTGTCACCAGACAACCTGCTGGTAACTATCGTCAATTCCATAGGCGCTGGCCTGGAGGCAACCTATGTGTTGATTTTCCTCATATTTGCCCCCAAGAAAGAGAAGGCCAAAATTTGCGGATACCTCTTTGTGGTCTTTTCCATCGTCTCATGCGTGGCCTTGATTTCCCTGTTGGCATTTCATGGCAATAAAAGGAAGCTCCTTTGCGGCTTTGCTTTTACAATTTCTTGTATTATGATGTATGGTTCTCCTCTCTCTGTAATGGTAAGTTATTTAGTCTTCCACTTATTTAGCAAAGTCACTAGCTGATTCAGTTTTTAGTATACTCAATAGGTACTAGAAGTAAGAATTTACGTTGTCATCCTTTGTGAAATATTTTTTTTTAGAATTTTTTTCAGTTCATTGTTTTCAATGTTGGCCCTCCCGTCTTATATAGTCCATGCCCCAGATGTCCCGTCTTGGGCGTGCAGAGGGTGTTGGAGTCCCACATCGGTGGGATAAGGAGTCCTTTGATCTCCTTATATGGTCTTGGGAAATCCTCCCCTCATGAGCTAGCTTTTGAGTTGAGTTAGGTCCAAGATCCATTTCTTGACATTGATATAGGTTGGTATATTTACTAGTGGATTCATTGTTACGGACAGGTTACAAAAGATGTGTCCATCTATAATCTATTTTCTTCTTTGCTAATTTAGGCATTTTATTCACTTTTTGCTATACGTTGACTTATCTATTAGATATATTGGTCAATCTGTCATAGTAAGAAAATCACTGATTTTATTCACATGTTTTTCCAGTGGACGTTTTTCGGTTAAGATTAAAATATTTGAGTGTGAACACATCAAATTATTAAAATCTTTTCTCTCATATGAGCATGGGATATTTAAGATTGAGTGTTTCTAATTGTTTGACTAAAGACGTTCTAAAAGCCAGTGATAGTGGTAGTTGACAGCAACATTGATGGTTCAGATATGGTGCCTAGTGGTGGTTGTATTTGGTAGAGGTGACCAGCAATGCTGATTGACTGGCTTGCAATGGTGTCTAGGAGGTGGAAGTTTTGATGTGGTGATTGGTGGTGGAAATGCTTGTGAGGTTGAGGCTAGTGATAGAGGCCGTTAGGGCTGTGGTGGGCGGTGGGGAGGCTGACAGTGGTTGTATGTGGTAGTTAGAAAAATGCTAAAAGTTCCCTTCACAGAAAACTTCAAGTAAACATTATCTTAACGATTTTGCACATAATCTGTCATTATGACAAATTCAGAGCAAATAAGTGATTGTAAATGAAAACAAATTCACTTAATATACTGAGATTTGACTGATTCAGATTTAGACATTCATAGAATGAAAACAAATATGTGGCCCAAATGATCACTGTGTCAAGAGTGTGTTTCTCATCAATGGTACTCTCCTAACAACAAATCCTAATCTCATCCTTATAAATGTACAGTTCAATCTTCCGAATTCGACATTAGAGCTAAAATCAAGCTTGTATTAGCAGTAAAACAAAATCCTCTTTATCTTCTTTTATAACTCTATTCCTTTCTCTTCTTTTGTAGAGGCTGGTAATCAAATCTAAAAGCGTTGAGTACATGCCATTCTTCTTGTCACTAGCTGTTTTCATCTGCAGTATCTCATGGTTTATCTTTGCCCTGCTCGGAAAGGACCCTTTCATTTTGGTAAGAATAAGCTTTTATTTCAAGTATTCAGTAAATTTTACGTTTTCGTGACTAGAATTTTTGTAAGGTTTTCAGAAAATCATGATACTTAAGTCAGTACCAACCAAACAAAGGCATAAAAGATTGATTCAATAACAATGACAAATCTCAGTGAAGTGTTTGTCTTACAGGTACCAAATGTCATTGGAACTTTGTTAGGAGCAGTGCAGTTAATTTTATACGGAATTTATCGTGATAACAGAGGGGTAGTCAAGAAAGATGAAATGAACGAATCTATAGAGACGAGGACTGGAGAACTCCAAGACAAGAAGCTAGCTTACAACGGAGACGCGTGAGAATGGCAATCCAGAAACTGTAACTCCATTTGGATCAAAAGTTATGGTTGCTTGTTTTTCTACTGTAGAGGAACATATTCAACTACTTACCTTTATTTCTCAGTATGCTTTATAAATTTAGTACAATATGGCCTTTCTAAAGGCAAATTTCTATGTTTTTGATTCATTGTGTCAATATTGAATCCTAAATCAGCAGGCACTACCTGCTTTACAAAATGTAGTACCATATTTTTTTCACAAGTATTCAAAGAACTTTTGCATAGGGCCTAAATTAGAAGTCTCAAGTATTCATGATTGCATTTTCATCCATAAAGAACTCTTTATCATAGGATTTTATTAATGGAGTTCCTTACAATTTGCAACCTATCGGTCGGTTCGATTTTGAAGTTTATCAGTAATTGGTTATTGATTTATCAGTTATCGGTTTAACTGTTAAGATTTGATACAAAAAAAAGATCATTGAAATTCACTTAGAAACAAGGTGACAAACCAAATGAACCATGCACATGAGTTGACAGATTGCATCTTGTTCAAAAGCAAACACTGTCACATTATAAAATAACAGAGAGTTTGAGACACTCAGAAATAAAAGTATGAAATTAAACTCTAACTCAAGGACTTTATATACCAAATGATATAAATATAATTATTTAATTTACTATCGGGTTATAGGTTAACCCATTAAGATAAACCTCAAACCGTTAAGAATAGATAACTCGATAATAAAGAAAATTAAAAACTTTTTTATTTGAATTATCGATTTTAAACAGCCTTGCAATATAGTATTTTGTGATTTACATTCTATCATGTTTTTTTTATACTATTTACACCCTTATCTGTTTATTTCCTTGCAAAACAATAAAAAGAACATTCTTCTAACTACTTCTTGAGGGCAAACTCAGAAAGTAAATTTAAATTCCATATTCAATTATTCATTAAAAAGTGTAACAAGAGCACATGGCATACTCAAATCCCCCAATTAACGGTTAAAAAAACTCACTCACTTCATGAGTTCTCTCTTTATGAACTGATGATGAGATGATAATATATACTTTCATTTTTACTTTATACTAAAAATAATTATCCAATAATATTTATTTAGTTTGAAAAATTAAGAGATAGTTTATCCTTTTGTGTCTATTTTATCCTTGCTCTATTCAATATCTACTACATTTCTCAAAGCATTGAATTTAATATATTCAAAGGCTAAAATAGTATACTATCCTTATATTGTTTCTTAAAAGATGTGTGTCAAATCAATAGGGACCAACTATTGTTGAACAAAGCGAGTATAAAATATGACAGATAGACATAGAGAAGTTGGTATATATCATTAAACACAACAGATAACATTTTCAACAAAATGGTCAGTATGTATATGTAATGTATTATCAATTATGTATATATAATATATCTATTTTGTATAAATAGTAGTATATACTTATGTATATATAATATATAACTATATATCACATATATATATTATTAGAATTAATATCTCAGATAGTCACTCAACTATGCACTCTTTTCTCAGAAAGTCACTCAACTTTCAATTTTAACTCAAAAGTCACTCAACTATGTACTTCTCTCTCAAAAAGTCACTTAATTTTGAATTTTAACTCAAAAGTCACTCAACTATCCACTCTTCTCTCAAAAAGTCACTCAATCTATTTAATTATTTTTTTAATTAAAATTTGCTAATATTAATTGTTTATATAACAAACCAAAATTTTAAAAAAATAAAAAATACCATTTAGTGATCCACCCACCTAACCCGACCCATTAAAAAATATAATATGACCCATTTTATTTTACCCTTAATCTTGAATTATTCCCTCTCTTTCTCCTCTGCTCCTCTATTTTTCTTTTTCGTTTTCCATTGTTGGTGCCTCTTCTTCCCCTAAATATCTCATTTGGTAGGAAGATAATCCATTTAAAATTTAATTTTATAATAAACAGAGTTCTCTGTTTTGGTCCATATTAAGCTCTTAACTTGTAATAAATTATAGCTTTTTGGTTGGGAGAATCATATGAACCAGTATCTCCCTAGAGTCTTAGTAATTGAACTTGTTTTACATGTCTCTCTTCAGGCCAAGTGTTGTGAGAATTGTTTATTGAGGAAGATTCAATCAAAGGGGCTCCTTAGTTTCAAGGCAAATGACGTTAAGACTACAGATAGTAGAAAAGGTTTGATAGCTTTTTAATATGTGATAGCTAGGGGAACAAGAGGCACTAACAACAATGGAGAACGAAAAAGAAAAAGAAAAATGTAGAGGAGCAAAGGAGAAAGAGAGGGAATAATTTAGGATTAAAGGCAAAAAAAAATGGGTCATATTATATTTTTTAATGGATCAGGTTAGGTGGGTGGATCATTAAATGGTTTAAATGATATTTTTTATTTTTTAAAATATAAACAATTAATATCAACAAATTTTAATTATAAAAACAATTAAATAGATTGAGTGACTTTCTGAGGGAAGAGTGAATAGTTGAGTGACTTTTGAGTTAAAATTCAAAGTTGAGTGACTTTCCGAGAAAAAAATGCATAGTTAAGTGACTTTTGAGTTAAAATTGAAAGTTGAGTGACTTTTTGAGAGAAGAACGCATAGTTGAGTGACTGAGGTATTAACTCTATATTATTAATACAATAAAATATACATTACAGATCGATGTATATATAATACTTCTTTCTTTTGTCCTTTTCATTCCAAAGGCAAAAGATTTTGGAACATGAGAATTGAGATCATAGTGTTTTTACCTTTTTATAGTCTTGCAGGTTTTCGAGTTCACTAACATAATTCAAACATAATCTTGACTTATGAATTAGCTTACCCAATTCTTATCGAGCCTCTAGAAAAAGGAATCAGCTATCAACTTCATCATCACTAAATTACTCATAGTTAATAGAATTGTTTAATTACCTATATTACTATTGAATAGAATTAATGACAAATTTAGTTGTTAAGTTACGGAATTTATTTGTTAATAATTACTCATGTTTTTTAATAGTGAGGGAATAGTATGATTTGGAACAATGAATAAAAGTACAAAACCATACAAATACCATCTCAAAATTAAATTTGATCTATGGATATAGTAATTATTATAGATAGATTGATCTTTGGATAAATAGAAAATTAAATTAATCTAAACAAATGGCAATAAGTTGTTTCATTGGAGGAGTATAATATTGATATATGTGGATTGAGTGTTTACACTAAATTAAAAAGAGAAATGTACAAATATTCTTTTTTGGAGATATTATTTAATATTAATTCAAAGTCAGTTTTTTTTTCTTTTCAAGTTTACCTGCTTTGAGCAGAACTTCAGACATTAGCGTTTGAAGTGTAGCTTTGTGAGGATTATACATTAGATATTTTTGCTTGAAGTTTGGTATACCCGGCAAAAAATCAATTTTGGACATTGTTAATTAAAGTTGTGGAGTACTTGACATTATCAAACTTTACGACACTTGTAATCAAAGTTATAACTTTAGCAAGACTTTAAATATACAATGACTTATCATGCTCAATTTCAGACATTTTTGACCAAATTTTTATAACCTTAATAAGAATATCAACTTATGACATTTTAAACAAAAAAATATGATGTGCTAAAAAGACAATACAACAGAATAATAATTAAGCAATACCAATTAGTGTTAGACAAGTGCAATTGTGCAAACCACATCGAGTTAGCACCAATTTTACAATGATTATACACATAACGTCACTCCTTTCCCATTTTGTTCGGATAGAATGACATACAATTTGTTAGAGGTTCGGAGTAACGGGTAAAATTATTGTCATGTGATTAGGATGTTACGGATTTAAGTTTTAAAAATAGTATTTTGCAGAAATACAAAATAAGACGTGCGTTTCGAGCTGCTCTTTTTTAAACGACATACAATTTGTGGTCTGGGATTTGGTAGGTTCAGACATATTATTCGTCCCACATCAAAACATATATTTGGCTTTGTATAGGTGTTTTATTAGAAGACTAGTTGCATATTTTCTTCTTCGAATTTTAATAATTAAATACACGATTTAATAATAAAAATTAGTTCAAATAAGCTCAAATTTAAAATTATATATCGTCTCCCAACAACCCCTCTTAAAAGAAAAAGAAAATGCAATATATTGGAGAAAAATCTTTTGATATATATTGCTAATAATTAAAATGTAGCCAATTGTACAAAAAATCAAAGCTCATTTTGATTTTTCTTTGCTTTAAATTGTGTTAATATTTTGTCAAATATGGTTCCTAACTTCCTATAGTGGCTACTTCTTTTCCTTTTTTTTTTTTTTTTTGAGTAAATGGTCACTTTTTAATAATTAAATACATGTTCAGAAGACAATGGGGTAGCTAGCTGAGTTGGCTTGACTCAACAAATGTACCAAAAAAATGCGAAAATATATGCAAAGAGGGTTTTATTTTTTGTTTTTCCTTCCGATGATGTTTAATTAATATTCGTATTAAAGTTCGATTAAATTTAAATTCTCATGAAGAAGTCCTATATTCAAGGTAAATCGCTTTTAAACAAATGTCACTTCATATACAAGACTTGAACCGAGACTTTTGATTAAGGATGAATGAGTACTTATTATTCTATCTCGTCCATATTAGTTATATTATATTATGTATAGTGTTTTTATTGCAAAATCTCTTATTGGCGGGAAAATATACCTTTAGTAGAATATTCTTTACTCACTATTAAAATTGTCATTGTTTCCTACAAGGATAGCACTTTCTTTTTTTTTGTTCCATATTTTTTCTTGTTTAAATATATATAAAATGTATCATAATGTGTTAGTGAGATTCCATGTCATAAATCATATTATATATTTTAAAAGATTACAATTAATTAGCTGATTCCATTGCGTATCAATGTTAATTACCCATTACGTTTAATTTCCTTAAATAATCTAGTCAATTGACGGCGTAAGATAAACACTAACCTACGTAAGTGGAACTAATAGAATGAGATTATGTTAATTAAATGAGATTATGATGCCTAAAGGCAAACAAGTAAGAGAAGATACATTACAAAATATAATCAAAATGGAATTTGCTCAAATAATTAACCAAAA